AGATTAGCTGGCCAGCCAAAAAACCTTGGTTGGCCGGCCAAAAAAGTTAGCCGTAGCTGACTATTTTGCACGAAATAGGATTTTTCGACAAAATTATCATCCTTTCCTCTTATTTCCACACTGTTCTTTGCTCGATTTCCTCAGAAAAAGTTTCATTTCAAAGTTTAGAAATGAGCCTCAGAACACTACGAAAATATTCGGAACAAAGCATGAAAAGAAAGTTTCGAAAGAGAGTTTTGAACGGAACTAAGCACTTGGCCAAAATAGGCTCAGGGTTGAGAATGAAACACAAATTCCATATTTCTTACTAAGAATTATGTGAGAAATACATTCTTGTTTTCATCATCGGGCAATCAAAAGAAGGCCCCCAAAGCCAGTCAAAATGGAATGTCTACATCCATCCATCTATAAATCTAAATACACCTACCTTAAAGAATATATATAAACAATGACATACAAAAAGAAGTAAAATTTATATTTAAAATGTATATATAATCATTATAAATAAATAATATACAAGATTTTTGTCTTTAAAAAATGTTTGGGGTATGATTTTCAATCAGTTTGGTGTAGTTTTGTGTTATTTTGAAAAAAAATGGGTTCAAAAATCTTTCCGACTTTGGTTCACTAAATAAATTGAGATTGTTCAATTTTTGATAGCCGAACAATTTAAGTTTGTTCAAACTTCTATGGTTGAACATGGCTAATTAGTCAATTTTTCCCATTTGGTTTCCAAACAAACCAAACAAATCAAGATTGTTCGGTCATGTCCTTCCAAACAAACAAAATTTGTTTAGCTTTGATTCATCAAAGAAAACATGAATGCAAAAAGAAACTGCAAAATTAGTTGTTGGGGGGGACGTTGTAGAGTGATGATTGCGATGGTGAATGTAACGCCCTAAAATAATAATAACCCCCCATAGCATAATATTTCGTAGAATGTATAACTAGCAATATATTTACGTTCCATTGATACTCCTTAATCATACAAAAGATGACATACGCATATATACATTCATAAATCCTAGATCCTGAATCTATAGCATATGCCATTTATAAATGAATTGAAACAAAAGGCTACATCTTTCCAAGTCAATGAATTGAAACAAAATCCTAGATCCTAGATCCTAGATCCTGAATCCACAGATAAGTTTATGCCTTAATCGTTACATCTTTCCAAGTCAATGTTTGGGTACAACAAAAGTGAGTTAAACTCAATACAAATAAAGCCCAACGCTTGTACAAAAATAATTACACAATAGAAATAAAAGAAGCTCTCGGCTCTAAGTCCTCCCAAGCTATGTTCTTGGTGGAGGCATATCATCAGCACTTGAAAGTTGTTTTCCACGTAAGGTGAGCTAAAACCCAATAGAGATATTTTAACACAATGTATAAAACTTAACGAAATCATAAAGTGAATGCATATGTATGCCATTTGCCAAATATTATACTTTTTCATCTCAAAACTATGCAATGCCAATATTATATATCAATTCATGAAAAATATACTTTATATCAAAAAATAGGGTAGTGGATACAAATACTGGGAATCTGTAGATACGTGTCTACCAGTAAGCTATACAAGCACTACCAAAGCTGTTTTACCAATATTAACCGAAAGGATTGGCACATAACCGCGCAAGTTTCTAGACTTTCACTAAGGACACATAGGCCAACATAATAACTACAACTACCCCCTAACTAGATTCACCAAGGTATATAGCCATTTTTCTCAAAAACAATACATTTTTAATGTTTAAGTATAAACTAATGCTCAGTGCAAGATGTATGAGTAATTAGTTTCAATTAAACAAATCCTCATGCAATTTCTACAACAATCAAAGCAATTCTCCATAGATAGCCCAAATAGATATTTTTACTCAATAGATAATTTTCCAACAACAGGTACAATCTCATAATTTTCAAAATGGAAGCGATAATACATATCCAACTCTACTCTCATCATTAATAGATGCATTCTTCTTATCTTTTCAAACCCAACATATTTTCCTTTTCTTTCACAAATCAAACATCATTGATTCTCAAACAAAACCTCATTTACTTTCAAAGTCATATTTAAGGAAAGATATTTCCAACATTTCAACACAACCCAACAATATATATACTTCCACAACCTTTCTCAAAAATTTATTTGAAAAACCCTTCTATTACATTTCAAAATCAAACCCCAAGTTTAATCCAAAATCCCCAAATCAATAAAAAATTTTAAAGAGCAAATAACTAAGCTAAGAATCATACCAAAAGTTGAAGAAATCCCTACATTAAGAGTAAAAGAGGAAAAGAGCAAGGGTAGAAGTTTGACAAGGCCGAAAATGAGATCCTCTACGATGAAAACAAAGCTTTCAACGAGCTCTACCTTTTCTCCAAGAAACTATAGAGGAGAAATCAATAGATTAGGAAGTATTTGAGGTTTTAAGACAAGAACTAGAGAGAGAGAGAGGATGAAGAAATTAGGATTTGGAGTGTTTTAGAGAGAGAGAGCGAAAAAGTGACAAAAAATCTCCCTTTTTCTGAACTGATATACGCACAGACTGCTCGAGCGTCAGACACAATATGTAACACCGCTCGAACGACTAAAAATGCCCCTTGAGTGCATAATGATCCCCTTTTGGAAGTTCAGACCTGCAAATGACCGCTCGAGTGAAGATCACCAATTTCCAGAAGTTTTATAGGTCTGCAAAAATACTGAGAGATCTCAGAGACCGCTCGAGCGACCAAAGTATCGCTTGAGCGAACTCGAAGTGAAAAAGGGAACAACTCTTTTGAAAAACTAATTCCCAACCTATTTCAAACACAATTAACAACTCAACTCAACTATCAACAAGATGATAAATGGCATAAACAATAATTAAAGATACGGAATCCCGGATCTAAGAGCACAAAAAGGGTCAGGTCTAAATTGGAACCGTTATAGTGAAGGGTTGAGAGGTGATGGCCATGGCATTGGGGTTGCAGAGTGGTGATCAGAGGTAGTGGTGGCGACGACGGCAGCAATTGTAGTAGTTAAGGATGGAAGAGTTAGGGTTTAAAAATTTTTGGTTGAAATAGAAACGAGTAAGTTAGGAATAAGGTACATGTAGAATAAAAGAATATATAAAGAGATGAAAAAAGATTTTTTATTTTTATAGGAAGTGGTGTAATGGGGTAAAATCAAAAATGTTAGAGACCCCAAAAATTTTACTAAAATTTCTACTAAATGTCTCATATGAGTATGGGAAATTTTGGTAGAATTTTTGAGGTCTCTAGCATTACTAGAGTAAAATTGTTATGTAAATAAAATTACCCAAATTAATGAGGGTAATTCTATTTACATAATAAAATTAATTAATTACACCACACAAAAATTCAAAATTTTGACTCTCTCTTTAACACTTATCATAATACCAAGCATATCCTCATCTTTTATACCCTAACTCTACTTCACCCCCAACCAGCACCTCCGGTAGTCACTATTGCTATCTCCAATCTCTAACCCTCAGCCCTCCCACCTCTCTTCCCCACTAAAACACACATCTTCTCCGTTCAAACGATCCCTCTAGTGACTCTCTCTACTATCGCTACCACCTTTTGGCCCCTTTTACCACTACAACCCTCCATTTCCAACCCTTTCGCTGCTCTCTCTCTCTGTTTCTATCTCTATCTCTATCTCTATCTCTATCTCTCTCTCTATCTCTCTCTCTCTCACACACACACACACACATCTAGGGTTACAAGATGGTGGATTAAAGAAGAAAAAACAATGATGGCGATGACACATGATGGATATAGTGAGGATGCGATGGTGCCCAATAAAGGGGGGAAGATCTGAGGAGGGTTTTGAGACAGTTCTAGGAGAAGGAGCTAGGGAAGGCAAGATAGAGGGTTTCAAAGTAGGTCAACGAAATTGTGATGGTAGCAGTCGTAGGGCTAAAAGTGGTGGTTGTGGGACAATGAGAGTGGCAATAGTATAAAATTATGGGGCAGATTGATGGGGTTATAGGGTGGGAGATGTGGGAAATAGTTGTGGGGGAGGTGGTATGACATGAAGGAAATGGTAGCAATCGGTGGTGTTGTAGTAGTGACGTAAATGGGGCAGGTAATGGCACTTGCAAGAGAGGTAATGAAAGAGATGGGTGTTAGTGAAACCAAGGTTTGAAAATTTTAGGGTTTGTGCCTATTTTGGTAATTTGATATAAAGATAAAATTGTAATTAAAAAAAAAAGGGTGGAGTGTAATGAGATAAAAGTCTGGTGTAAATGGAATTACCAAACCAATGTCCTTGAACTCTTAAAAAAAGACTTTATTCATTAAAAATTAATAGTGCCCTTTTTGCATTATAAAAATATTATTAAGGACTTTTTTTCGTTGTGAAAAACGAATTAATAACAAAAGGAAGTTAAATATTATATAAATTCAAATCTTATAAGAGTCTAATATAATTATAAATCTATTCTGTTTTTTCCAAACCTCAAAAAGATTAGTATAACTTACCCTTTTTATTTGATGTTTTCTTTTTTTGAAAATTAGAAAATTTATTAGATGAAGTACTTTCAAAAACTATTTAGTGTGGGAAAAAAATCTACTTTTTTTTTTTTGTTTTTAAAAAAATGATTTCTATAATTTCAAAAAATATTTTTTATAAGAAATGAAAGTAAAATAAAAACTAAGGGATTGTTTGGAATGTTCTAAGTAAGTGCATTTTTTAATTTTTTATAAAATATGAGTTGGGTTTGAAGTGATGTAGTAGAGAAGTGATTTGATTTAAATAAGATAATAACTTTTTGATTTTTTAATTTTTTTAGGACACCCCAAACAAGGTCTAAGATGTTTTCAAACTCCTCAAAGCAATTTCCGCGACTTTCGCTGGCAATGTACAATCTTCAACTCAGCAGGTTATGCTAATATTTTTTTTTTTTTTTTTTTTTTTCTTATGTATCCCAAAAAAAAAAAAAAATGCATTCATTAATTTAATTCTGTGTCACTTCTACATAACTAACACATTGAACATCAAACACTACCTCTGCTATTATTTATTTTCAAACATAACAAATTGCACTCAGCATATCATGGCATTGGCATTACCAGTTTAACTTAATTATAAAGCCCAATTCATAACAACATTCCATAAATGATGTCTCAAACAAAGCACAGATATCTAACTAAACTATCAGCCTGCATTCTCAAGCATTGCTCGAACCCTCATTGGAAGTCCATAAAGCCGAATGAATCCAGCAGCATCGGCCTGATCATAGATCTGCCCACTCTCAAACGATGAAATATCTTGCCTGTACAGACTATAGGGGCTTTCGCGACCAGTTACAGTCACAGAACCTTTGTACAGTTTGAGAGTCACTGATCCCGTGGTAGTTGCTGTGATCTTCTCCATGAAAGCATCCATGGACTCACGAAGAGGGTCAAACCACCTCCCCGCGTACACCAGCTCTGCATATTTGAGGGCAAGAGAGTCTTTAACTTGGATTGTTTCGCGATCAAGCGTTAGAGACTCCAGCTCACGTGCAGCAGTGAAGAGGATGGTCCCACCGGGAGTTTCATAGACTCCACGGCTTTTCATTCCAACAAGCCGGTTTTCAACCATGTCAACACGCCCAATTCCATGTCGCCCACCAATTTCATTCAGCTCAGAAAGCAGAGATGCAGGGGAGAATTCCTTTCCATTGACTGAAACAGGAAGCCCTGAAACCATCCCAATTTGTACATATCTACATGGGGGGGAAAAAACAAAGAAGCAAACGCATAAATCAAGATTTGACTAAATTAAAGGAATTGAAATGCACATCAAACAAGCAAACTTACTCAGGTTGGTTGGGTGCATCTTCTGGCTCAACAGTCATCATGTACATATCCTTGTTTGGCTCCTTTGCTGGATCTTCCAGGATGTCTCCCTTCATTGCCACACCACGGCATGCACACACACACACACGTGAGAGAGAGATTAATTTATGAAGAGTTAACAATATGTAGGATCTTAAATTCATCTTCTAAGGGAACAATTCTAAAAAGGTCAAATTAACTAGTCCCAGAAGTTTGACTGGGGAAGGCATGGTCGACATCAAGCACTTGTATTACAGAACCCAAGCAAGAAGTCAAAAATTAAGCATTTAATTCCAGATTATAAAAGACTCCGCTGATCATATTGACACATCAATTTGAATACCTTTTTATATTTTTTATTTAAAATAAGACTAGATAGACTCCAATTTGTTTCCCTTCATTTACAATTCCAAATGAAGCCGCTTTAAAGGTTATAAACTGCACACTATTGACAAGAAAATTAAGAGATTCATAGTGACAATCAAGAAGCATAAAGCCACAATCAGTCTTGGTGCATGTCCTTATAAAGCAACTTGCAGACTTTACTCACGAGTCACAAAACTATGTGCCTAAATGCAAGATATTAAACTGTAACTGAGTGCAACAAAAACAAAAAATGAAGAGAGGGCGGGGGAGAGGATATGCTCATATACCTCATGACTGAGGTGCCATAGGTTTCTGTCTCTGCTGTAGATGGATTTCTTTGTCACGGGGACAGGCACATTATGTTTTTTGGCATATTCAATGGCATCTTCTCTCCCTCGGATTTCCCATTCCCTCCAGGGAACCACAACATTGAGTTCAGGATTTAGAGCAAAGAAAGTGAGCTCAAAGCGGACCTGTATATACAGTGCAGACAGAACTGTTGTGTAATTTACAAGAGCTTCAATAATAACTTTTAGAAACAACAAAGGGACTGTGTAGAAGAAGAATACCTGATCATTTCCTTTCCCAGTGCATCCATGAGAAACAGCATCAGCTCCAACTTCTCTAGCAATGTCAACCATGGCCTGCCATTTGCAAGTAATGGTGAGACACTGAAGGCATGTTTGATTAGTAGGATTGGGATTGTTAGTCCATGGACTCACAATCCCATGTTTGATTGCAAATTTTATTAACCAGATTCCATGTACGGTAGATATTCAATCTAACAAAATTGGCAAATTTTTAATATTGAGAGGGACTACGATCATAATTTCAAGTATGAAAGAATAAAACAAAATGAATACATAATAAATGGTTATCTCACTAATTTAATTGGATAACTAATCCTACACTAATTCATGAGATTATTAATCCTTTCACTATTAATCATTTTAATCAAACAAGGCCTAAGAGTATATAACTCGTAAAAGAAAAGTAAAACAGATATATCAAATGTTACTTAAAAATGCAAACTTTTGAGATCTTAACAAGCTAAGCAACAACACAGAGGATCATTATGCAGATGAGAAAACTTTGCTTCATAATTTTATTTTGGGGACATTACCAAAAAAAAAAAAAAAAACCAAACAAACAAACAAAAAAACCAGAGTTTGACCCTTATCACAAAAAAAACCCAGAGTTTTAAACTTTGTCTATTTAAACCTTAATCTTTTGATTTATTTTCAATCTAAACCATTCAAATCGATGGAAAAAGTAGCCATTAAACTATGTAGGTGTACATTAAATCTCTAAAATACCCTTTTTCGTTGAGTTTAATGACTAAAATACAATTTTCAATCGGTTTTACTTACAAATATAGGCAGATGGTTTAGATTGAAAATAAATCAAAAAATTAAGGTTTAAATTGACAAAATTATAAACTTGGGTTTATTTTGTTTCAAAGGTTAAATCTTGGGTTTTTATTTTTTTTTGTAATTTCTCCTTCTTTTTGATATGATATCTAAATGCATTAGAAGATGTGCATGTGCTAAAACCCCCATTTCATGAAGCAGCAAATTGATGATACAACCAGCCAGTAGCAGGAAAAATGCTCCTCTTCAAAAGCTACAACGCCAAGAAGGCATCATTTGTTTTCCATTTATTCACAAGATCAAAAGTTTCCTAAACTACTTCAATCCATCACATTTCGTAGAAATTAGTCATGACAATTACAGCCATCAAAGAAGCATTTGTGTACAGCAGCATTCATATAGGGGAAAAGAAGTCTACTTCTCCACCAACAGATAGTTGACTATTGCCCTCCCATCTCCTGATAAGAAGGGTATTATTACTACAAGGCTTATGTTTCATTCCCAGATGTTCAGGTTGTTTACTGAGAAGTCCATCCTGAAATCAACTGAGGGATCAATTTGTTATAGGGTGCTGCATTCATCTCTGAGGCATAATAGCACGTGCCAAAGAGCCAAACTTCAGTCCCATTTTCTCGCGAAGATAAAACACATGCATTTACCAATAATAGGTGTTATCAATCTTATAAACAAGGCAATAGTTCTGACATTAGATAACACAAACAAGTGAAACCATGAAATATCACATAAACTATAGGTACTTTAAATCATCAAATAACAAGATGTTGACCATTTAGAAGATGATGGAGAAAACAAGAAGTCTGTACTTGAAGGCAAAGAGAAGAATAAGAGAGTGGGAGAGTTCACCAACTACAGGAGCTCTTTGTCATCTCAAGAGGAAAGAAGGCTTTCTCAATTGCACTAGTAAACAGTAATAAAAGGAAATGCTTTTAGAGCCATGCCTATCATTCTTTGTGCATGCCAAAGTGCACAAGAACATTGAGAATGAACAGAAGGGACAGTGTAGGTTATGTCCAAGTGTGAGTGTTGAGTCTGCTGACAGTGCAGAATAAGGAAAGCTTAAAAATTGCAAGATAAATCAAAATACCCATACCATAATTAACATTTACTAAAGGGTTGTAGTTAAATAGAAGTTGGTGAGCATTTCTATACTGTAGTCTTGATGTTTCATAAGCTCTTCTCGATTTATCAGATTTTTAGCCCAAAATCAAAGCTTAGGCTACTTATATATATATATATTTAGTTCATTCCAAATCTTATACTTCCTTTTCTTTAAAAAATAACTCATAATTTATGAGAAAATTACCACAAACCAACACATTTCCTAGAAATTAGGTGTAACAATTTCAGTCATCAAAGAATCATCCATACATGGGAAAAGAACATTGCTCCTCCATTAACAGATAATTGACTACTGTTCTCTGTACCTTACTCCATCACATGCCCTGTCCCTGTAGATGTTTCCTTCCCTCCAGATACTGAAGCATCCATTTATCGGACTAGAATATCACTTCTCCATTAACTAATAATTGACTAATGTCATCCACCCTGTCTGTCTGGCCTATGTTTCCCAAATGATTAGGTAGGTGTTAGAATACTTTCTTATTTCCCTATTTAGATTAGATTGTGATTGATTGATTGATTGATTGTGATTCCTTAATCAGTCAATCAATCAATCAATATAAAAGGTAATTCCTTTATCAGTGCCTTATGGCTTCCTTTTGTAACAGTTGATTGATTAACATAAAAGTTGGTGATATCATAATCATCACCCAAGCTTTGTATTCTCTTAAACTATATACCGTTGCCCACACAGCCGCTGCCACCAACCAGCCATTATCTATCATCACCCATCCTCCACCACTGGTCCCTGAATCTCTATCGGAACCAGCCAAGGTCCCACAGAGCTATTTCGGCTTCAGCCGAAGGCCTTTCTGGCCTAGTCGACCCTTGTGAAGGCTGCCTAGCCTCTCTTTGTGTATTTCGGCTATTGTGGATGAGTGTTTGAGGGTTGCCCATCTTCTGTTGCCCCAAGTTTCTTTCCCTCTACTTTCTTGAACACTGTTCAACATTTGTTTTGATTGGAGGTTCGTTTTCCTATATTTGATTTATTTTTTGGGTCCATAGATGACCCATTAATTTGACTATTATGCTCCCATAGCAGTCTGTATGTGATTTTGGTTGTTCCAACCCATTCCATTCCTCTTTCCATTCTTGTGATTCGTGCAAGGTTTTTGGGTTGAAATTGTAGAGTTCTTATGGCTGACCTAACTAGTGAATCCACCACTACTTTTCACCCATCTAAAGGGGAGAGCTCCAGTTATAACTACTACATTTGAGAACCTGAACCCTAGCCTCAAAATCACCACCGTTTTATTTAATGGTCAAAAATTACCTTTCATGGTCTCAATGTCTGACATTTTTTTTGAAGAGTAGGGGAAAGATGGGATATGTTAATGGGAGAGTTCAAGCACCAGGTATTATAAATCCTGACTATGACCAATGGAAGATTACCAACTCTTTGATCATGGGGTGGCTCATTCATTCCATGGTTCCTGAGATTGGTGAAGGCTATTTATCCATGGATACTGCCCAGGATATTTAGGAAGCAACCATTGCTACATATCCTGGAAAAGGGAATTTTCTCAATCTTTTGAGTTGCGCCGGTCTATTGAGCGCTCAATACAGGCGGAGCAGATAGTTCTCCAGTATTACACCTTTCTAACTAATGGTTGGAAATGCTTAGATCATCTCCTGGATTACAAGCCTCTCTGTACAGTTGACTTGGTTGGTTACCAAAAGTTTCTTACATAGGAAAGGGTCTTCAAGTTTCTGGAAGGCCTCAATGTGGAGTTCGATCTGGTTTGGAGTCGTGTCCTTGGCATGGATGTTCTTCCATTTCTTCAAGAGGCCTTTGCATATGTACAGAATGAGGAGAGGCGTCGTTCTACTATGTTACCACTAGCTACTGGAGACTGTTCAACATTACTTTCTGCTCCTTTTCGAGATGGAATTGCTTTGTCACTACCTCTTTCCCATCCTTCAGGGAAGGATACTGTGTTCTGTGATTACTGCCGTAAGCCGCGGCATACTCGTGAGACGTGTGTGAAGCTTCATAGGGCTCCATCAAGGAGTAGGGGTGATCGGTCTGATACTAGAGGCAGTCGATCATGCCAATGTAGAGGACGTGGCTCTAATCCACGGGCCCATCAGTCTAGTGCTATTGACACCCTTGATTATACTTCCGCTTCAGTTGGTCAGACTTCTGATAGTTTATCTAACATGACTTCTCCTGAGCTTGAGGCTGTTCTGCATTATTTGCTGGCCCGTCAGTCCATTGTTTAGAAACCCGAACTAGACCGGCCGATCGGACCGGTTGGACAGGGAACCGGGCCTTGTTCCGGTTCGGAAAACCCTCTAAACCCGGACTAAGGCCAAAGCCGGTGTAAAATTGAAAAACTGGTAGACCTGGCGGTCGAACTGGTAGAACCGGTGACCCAGACTGGGTTTTGAGGGTTGGCCCGTTCTTTTTTTTTTTTTTTTCAATTCTGTCTTTAACTTTTTTTTTTTCTTTTCTTTTCTTTCTTTCTTTCTTTCTTATATATTTATATATATATATATATATATATATTTTTCAAAATTTTGACTAAAAATTCTTATTTCAAGAGTCTCCTCTCATAAGGAGGAGTCTCATTGGAAACTTGAGGAGATTATAAAAGTTTATTGCTATTTATAGGAAAAAAAAATTCAAAGAGAACTTACAAAATTCTATGTGGAATTCAATCAAATTATTTGAATCATATTGATTGGAGGGAGAGTTGAAAATTTTATTTCCCTCCAAAATTAAATCTAGCATTCAATCAATTTGTTTGGAGGGAATGTCAAAAAAATTTAGTTTCTTTAAAACAAGCGACTTTTTCTTATCAGTTATGATTTTATTAAATATTATTAATAAATACTATGCAACAATTTTTATTTTTATTTGAGTATTTATATATATTTATTTATTTATAATGCATAATTATATTTTTTAATTATATAATATTAATTATGACGTCACGGTTCAACCGCTTTGACCCGACGGTTGAACTGATGACCCGTCTACCCGGTCCCTTTTCCGGTTCGCTCACCAGTCCAGTTTTCAAAACATTGCGTCAGTCTTCTACTGCTCTCAGTGCATCTTCCTTGTCGTTTGCCCACTCAGGTAACTTAGCCTCTTCTCCTAGTGCTTTTCTTTCCCATAAGTCTTTGCCATG